AAGCGGTGCTAAGAGTAGCTACCGTTGCTAAGAGTAGACAGCGGTGCTAAGCGGTGCTAAGCGATGCTAAGCGGTGCTAAGAGTAGCTACCGGTGGTAAAAGTAGCTAAGCGGTGCTAAGCGGTACTAAGAGTAGCTACCAGTGCTAAAAGTAGACAGCCGGTGCTAGGAGTAGGCAACCGATGCTAAGAGTAGCTACCGGTGCTAAGTGTCGGCAACCGATGCTAAGAGCAGCTACCGGTGCTAAAAGTAGCTAACCGATGCTAAGCGGTGCTAAGAGCAGCTACCGGTGCTAAACGTAGCTAACCGATGCTAAAAGTAGCTAACCGATGCTAAGAGTAGCTAACCGGTGCTAAGAGTATAAATAATTATTAGTCATCAATGGGGCGGGATCAATGTCAATCATTCCCTAGCTTATAAGATCAAAAATGCATTATTATACGCTGGAAAGTATATTATTCAAAGGTAACAGTGTCGATATTCCTAGATATCTATTTATTTCATAATGAATTTAACAATCAGAGGATACACTAGTTTTCTCATTTAAACATACATCATGACGTCACATTAATAATGATGTCATTGTATTAATCATATTAAACATACATTATGCAAGAGCTAAATCTGCCTATTGCAGGCCTTTCTTTAGGCCTGAAATGTTATATAGACATTTATTAACATGAAAAGACCTTAATAAACTCTCGATGTCATCTTATGTCGGAATGTCACTGGATTTGAATCCGATTTGCCACTCAACGGTCATTGACTATTTAATCAAAAAACGGATAATCGAGACTAGGCCTAAAATTCAAACGCAAATATCTCGGTTCAGAGAGGAGCAATTTAACTGAAATTTTCAGCATATTCCCTTTACATTATTGCATTTTTAACTATTATAGTGAGAACTATCAGCTCTTTATCTAATCTCCCACAAGGCCTCTTTAACTGCAACCCCTGTGGAAAGATTTCTTTGAATTATTCAAGTATCGCAGTACACCTAGTTTGTTTGCTCTGTATTTTGTTTTTATTAAAGTTTTTTTTTATTTTGACATCAATTCGTGCCAAACATCTTCAATAAACTTGAAATGTCCGACTATCTCTGGTCTATTATCTTTTAAAAGTGATTCGACCGTTCCTTATAGACATCATTATAATGAACCGGATTTAGATTCCCTGAGCTACAATGACTGCTTTCAATTTCAATAGTAATGTAAATAGCTATTGCAATGGTGTTAGAAATATGGTTTAACGTCTACTCGAAACAAAATAGATCAAGGACAGGTTCCATTGTTTTTCAGTATTTCACTTGAGCGTAGGGGTCTTTCCCAGTGGGGGGGGGGGGGAGGCAGAGAACCCCGGAGAAAGCCCACGAGGTTCCTGATAAAGGGAAGCGAGAAATTGTTATCGCTCTTCCCACATGCGACTTTAGGTAGGGTTTTATAGAAATTTAGCTTAGGAACCAGGGCTGTATACACCATACACATATTTGACCAGAGGCGGGGAGAGAGAGAGAGAGAGAGAGAGAGAGAGAAAGAGAGATGGGTTTAACGTCCACTCGACACATACGATGTCATTTCGGGACTAACATAAGGTTCAATTTTATTTCAATAATTCGCTTGCGGGTAGGGGTATTTAGCGCGTCCGCGTTGCATCATAAGGTCTTTCATTGAGTCAACTGGCGTGGTTTCGATTCCCCGCTTATACATGATAAGGAGTAGGGTCGCCTGTCCAACCTCGTAGGTTTTCTCCGGGTCCCCCGGTTCCCCCCCCCACTGTTAAAGACACCTACGGGCTAGCGTATTATTGAAATAAAATTGAACCAAGTGTTAGTCTCTCTCTCTCTCTCTCTCTCTCTCTCTCTCTCTCTCTCTCTCATTAGACAGATCGGAGCAGACTAATAAGACGTTTCATTCCATGGTATTTGATCACCATCAATCCAGCGAAACCAACACATATCACCATATCATTTTAAAGGAAACAAAAAGAAATTCAAAATGTCGATACGACATATCATACACTTTCATAATCTATTAACCCTTATAAATTGTTCTATTCTTTGGCCCCCTGTGATCTAAACACAGCCAATCGATTCTACATCGTTCCAGAAGTCTTTGAGATTCTGATTGTAAAGACAAGCTGTGGTATTACCGACAGATTTCGTTATGAATCACACGATATCATGTTAAGCCAAACTAGGAATCAACAGTCTCTTCATCGTAAAAACACAAAATTCTCTTTGTTGGAATCTAGAGACATCAAAGAAATGAATTTAATACGCTGCCATTTTCTTTTTACATTACAATCATGTATTGACTTTACAACAATCGTGTGAGATGACGTCATCAAAAAGTGTGTATTTCCAAATGTTTGTTAATAGTAAGATTTAATCTTTGAGAGAACATCACAGATTACACGCTTACATATTTCGCCCTTTAATAAAACATTCCAGGGGCGGATCCAGTGGGAGTGTTTGGGGGTCCAAACCCAACCCTGCTCATGATCAGCTGATAAAACAATTGTAAAACAACACCCTTGATGAGACAATCGGGTGTTCGATCCCTGCATTGGTCGAGAAAGTTCATTCAGATTTTCCGGCGTGGTTTCCTCTCGTCAGTGATGCAGGACGGAGGGCCTGACAAGGACAGCTGTCTAGTCGTTCGGATGGTACGAAAACCCGAGGTCCCGTGTACACATTGGCGTGCACGTAAAAGATCCCTTGGCAGTTGGAATTCGATATAAGAGTAGGCGATAGTGCCGCTGCCCGGGCAAAATTTCCCTCATAGCACACTGTATGGCGTATACCCGTCTTCATTAGCCCAGTTTGGAGCAGAACAGTAGGACGTCTTACCCACCTAGCTACCGTCACCCCCGTTTTCTCAAATGTTATTACGTCATGTATCGGGTGTTTGGGAATGGCAGTCATATACTGCCGTGTGTACGTCATTATTTGAAATGTTAAATGTCCACATAAACTAAATAGGTCTGCGATGTTTGCACACACAAAAATGTAGCCTCGGTCATTGTTGACCCAGTTAATAAATCTAGACATTGTAGGTTAAACAGAGAGAGAGAGAGAGAGGATGGGGGGGGGAGTAACGTCCACTCGACACAAACTAGGTCATTTCGAGACTAATACATGGTTCAATTTTATTTCAATAATTCGCTTGTGCGTAGTAGGGGAGGGGGCAGAGGGCCCCGGAGAAAATACACGAGGTTGGAAAGTTGACCCTACTCCGTGTCAAGTACATCCGGGGAATCGAAACTAAGCCAGTTGACTCAATTACAACCCCCTGTAGAATAAATAAAAACAGCGTGTAAGTATTATTAGCTCACGTTGGCCATTACTAATGTGGGGGATTGGATGGCTGAATGGTTAGCGTGCGCGCGCTGTATCATAAAGTCTGTTATTGAGTCGACTGGCGTGGTTTCGAATCCCCGGTTGTACGTGACAAGAAGTAGGGTCGCCTGTCCAACCTCATGGGTTTTCTCCGGGTCCTCCGGTTTCCTCCCACTGCTAAAGACCCCTATGCGCAAGCGAATTATTGAAATAAAATTAAACCATATGTTAGTCCCGAAATGACCTAGTTTGTGTCGAGTGGACGTTAAACAACATTTCTCTCTCTCTCCCTCTAATTAAAGATACATTATGGGAGATTAGATAATAGTTAAAAACTAGGTAATGTAAAAGGAATATGCTGAAAATAGCTCCACTCTAAACCGAGATATTAGTGTTTGAATTTTAGGCCTAGCCTTGATCATCAGTACTAAAGTCAGTACGATAGAAAACATAGCCTCGATTATCCATTTTCGGATTAATGGGCATTGAGCAGCAAATCGGATTCAAATCCAGAGAAAATCCGATACATAAGATGGCATCGAGAATCGATTAAGGTCTTGTCATGTTTTGTTAATAAATGTCTAATTAATAATTTACATAACATTTCAGGCCCAAATAAAGACCTGCAATAGACGGATTTAGATCTTGCATAATGCCTGTTTAACAACCATTTTCTTTTTGTAAACACCATGTTTTACTGTAGTTGTAAATATCACGGAAACTAAAAATACATATTCGGTTTCTAATTAAAAGTTTTCGATAAAATAACATTTAAAGGGCGTAAAGCTCTAATTCAATAGTATTCACAGTCTGCGGCATTACAAACAAATCATTGATTCATTCTAATCAATAGTGGTGTTGTTATTTTATCTATTTAAGATATAGTAAACAATTTTGAAATAAAATAAAATGGAGTTTAACGTCCCACTGTTCTGCTCCGAACTGGGCTAATGAAGACGGGCATACGCCATACAGTGTGCTATGAGGGAAATTTTGCCCGGACAGCGGCACTACGGCCTACTCTTATATCGAATTCCATCTGTCAAGGGATCTTTTACGTGCACGCCAATGTGTACACGGGACCTCGGTTTTTCGTCCCATCCGAACGACTAGACAGTTTTTCTTGTCAGGACCTCCGTCCTGCATCACTGACAAGGGAGAACCACGCCGGAAAATCTGGATGAACTTTCTCGGCCAATGCAGGGATCGAACACCCGACAAGTCAGTATTTAGTCACGGTTAGTTTACAAAAAAGGGAGGGGGTTGGATGGCCGAATGGTTAGCACGTGCGTGCTGTATCATAAGGCCTGTCATTGAGTCAACTGGCGTGGTTTTGAATCCCCGGTTGACGTGACAAGGAGTAGGGTCGCCTGTCCAACCTCGTGGGTTTTCTCCGGGTCCTCCGGTTACCTCCCACTGCTAAAGACCCCTACGCGCAAGCGAATTATAGAAATTATATTGAACCATGTGTTAGTCCCGAAATGACCTAAACCCCATTTCTCTCCCTCACACACAAAAAAGGAGGTTTTGCATTGATTAATTGACGACGTGTTGTACAACGCTAAATATAAATACAGTAAAAATCCTTCTGAAATGACATGCATCCCACGTCTTCATATAATATTCATATATAAACCACCCTTATATATCGACTATATACTTACATGTCTGTGTCGAATAAACCGTTTCAAATAACATCAGTAGCACCACTCCAACATCCATCTTCTGTTTCCTAAATCCAGGTTAGAATTCAACAACAAAAATACCACCAAATATATGATAATTCCATTCACATGGCTCAGGCTTCGATTAACCTTTTACTATGCTACACACGGATTAATCACCGCCATATCTCGAGCACACTGGTCGTTTTATCGCAAGGTCTTCAGAGCAATCTTTTCAAATAATGAAAAGTTAATGTTACTAGATATTGTGACGAATTTCATCAAGCGTATTACTTCGTCTAGGTTCTGTCAATAACAACACAAGCGTGTTTCTAGAAAGACGTCCATTGAAAAATGAAAAAAAACCCAACCCAACCTAAAGTAATTTCTTCTGAAGTTCAATTCCCATTCTACTCATTTTTTTCCGTTGATGAACTTCGATAAATTCACGTGATGAGCCCAAGAGATGCGACAAAACCCTTGAAGACGAGTCATACTTCTTAATTAAAAGCGAGACGAAAGTCGCTAGCAGCCAGAGATCTTGAGAATAGCGAGAAGGAGATTTTAATTGGCCCTTTTCACAAGTTGGTCATTTACTTACAATACTCTGTAAAGATGTTTCAAAGTCCTAACACAATTATAATGATGATTTTCTTTTAGATGCCAGTCTGACCATTGGAGACAAATCAGTCTTTAATGATGGCAGCGACCACAATGGGAATACAACTAGCTTCCTTGTGTCGTATTTTTATGTTGAGCTCGCCAAATGATTATATAAATGCCAGAAATGACTTTTTAAATATTTGTTTAGAATGATCGGTTTAATATGATCCTTAAAAATGTTGGAATCGAATTACTGTTCAATTAAGACATTGTTAGAATTCCAGCAAATCTTTATAATGTGTTTACCAAATAACGGCGATTTGCTTTGCGTTTTAAACTACAGTGTTCACAGTTAATTAACTAAAGTGACACTATTTTAACACTTTTTGAATATGTGTTTCTAACGATAGTTTTTATATGATCCTTTAAAGTTGGAATCGAATCGCTGTTCAATTAAAACGCGGTTAGAATTCGAGCAAATCTTTATCATGTGTTCACCAAATAACGACGGTTCACTATTTTAACACTTGGTATCCAGGCTATTAACTATGTTCTTCTCCACATATACGAAATGAAATGAAATGATATGGGGTTTAACGTCCTTAAAAGTTGGAATCGAATTACTGTTCAATTAAGATATCATAACGGTTAGAAATTCATCTAATCCATCAAAACGGCGATTTATTTTCACAGTTAAATAACTAAAAGGTCACTAATTTTACACTTAGCACATGGAATTTTACTTATTGAGCCGGTATCCACGCTATTAAATATGTTCTCTCCAAAGCGTAAAACAAAACTCCCCATTTACGAAATGAAATGATATGGTGTTTAACGTCCTACTGTTCTGTGCCGACTGGGCTAATGAAGACGGGAACTCCTTTTAAAGACCTTAGCCACGCTATTAACGATGTTCTGCAAAGCGTAATACCAAACACTCCGTTTACGAAATGAAGTGATGTTGGTGTTTAACGTCCTACTGTTCTGTGCCGACTGGGCTAACGAAGACAGAAACTCCTTTTAAAGACCTTGGCCACGCTATTAACGATGTTTTGCAAAGCGTAATACCAAACACTCCGTGATATTGGTGTTTAACGTCCTACTGTTCTGCACCGACTGGGCTAATGAAGACGGGAACTCCGTATATCCCAATAGCAGTTGAATACAGATGACAGCTGGGGTTAGAAATTCGACTGTCGATAACCGTTTTTATATCTTATTACCAAACACTCTACTCACATTTAGTCAACACGGCATGCTCTTTAATACCGTACGTAGAAGATTTATTCAAATGTAAACACAATCAACAACAGCTGGTTCGTGCATGCGAATAGAAAAATTCTGAGGTTTTCTACTTGTTCATTCAGTTACGTTCAGTTACTAGCATATTTTACCTTTCTTTCATGGTCTCACAAAGCACAGTTTTGTCAGGCATGTTTAAGATATATAAAGTGTCTGGGTGAATTCAACCTTCTTTTTGTCGATAACGGTGAAGTACGGTATTTGAATCTGTATTGTATTCTGAACTGAATAAACCTGCTTCGTGCATTAAAATAAAATTACCAGAATTCGATCGAATAATTAAATCTATTGTAAACTTTCTTCACGAATTCAACACGGTTAGGTAATGAATTGTCCCGAGTCGTAGTTTCATCACTGTGTTTTGATATTAGCATCCCGGTCACAGCCTTAAAGGTAAAAAATAGCGTATGCTTTTACTAAATGTTTTTAAAACTGTTCATCAGCGCTGTGATGTTTTCACGTTATTAACAGTTCGGCAATTCATTCATTTATAATGTTTTTAAAACTGTTCATCGGCGCTGAGATATTGTTATCCTTTAAGCACAACAGTTCGGCAATTCATTCATTCACAATGTTTTTAAAACTGTTCATCGGCGCTGAGATATTGTCACGCTATCCTTTAAATACAACAGTTCGGCAATTCATTCATTACAATGTTTTTAAAACTATTCATCGGCGCTGAGATATTGTCACGTTATCCTTTAAGCTCAATAGTTCGGCAATTCATTCATTCACAATGTTTTTAAAACTGTTCATCGGCGCTGATACATTGTCACGTTATCCGTTCGGCAATGCCTTCATTCACAGTTCTCTATAAATGCCAACTGTGATATATACATCTACACCAACCGACTTTTCTCAGGAGAATATTATCAAGTTGTCTGAACCCTTCGTGCATAATTCATCCAATGGTAAATGACTTTAATCAGCCGCTCATACGACAAACTGTTGGAATGATTACATGCACGGAAAGACTCGCCTTAAAAGCCCCACTTGTCATAGCAGGCAATGGTTCCGTTTCGCACCATACGATTACTGTGTTATTTAGAAATGAAGCAGTGTGCCAGTGATTAGGTTCCGTCACCGTACAGTGTTTGTATATACTTCCTAGAGTTTTAAGATAAACAGTGGTCGATAATGGAACCCGTAGCGATCAATATTACTCTACAGTAACATTCGATCTTAAACATTCGCCTATTCGTCCTTTAACTCTTTTTACTGTCATCTTAAACCCGTCACCAGACATTAAACAGTCGTGACAACAGAGGAGTAAAGCGCTTTCATCCAGGCGTACAAAAACTGTCTTTGATGTTAAAGAGCTTAACTTAATTCTATTTTCGATTTAACGTTTAATAAATTAGTTACGGGATCTTTAATTGTTAAAGATACATTATGGGAGATTATACAAGGAGCTGTCAGTTCTTTAATAGTTAAAAACTAGATAATGTAAAGGGAATTTGCTGAAAATTTTAGTCAAATTAATCCACTTTGAACCGAGAATATAGCGATTGAATTTTAGGCCTAGCCTCGATCATCATTACTAAAGTAGGTACGATAAAAAAACATAGTCACGATTATCCATTTTTTGATTTAATCATCAATGAGCGTTGAGCAGCAGATCGGGTTCTAATCCAGTAAATATTGGAGGCTAGCGATGACACCGAGAGTTGATTATGGTCTGGGTAAGTTGATTAAGGTCTAATTAATAATTTAAATAACATTTCAGGCTGATTTAGCTCTTGCATAATGTATGTTTAATCCACAGCCCGAGTCAGAAACGTTCCAATCTATGGAAGACCAAACAGCTCTTTATTCAGTGTTCTTAATTCTTAGTTCTTAATTCATAGTCCTTAATTCTTATTTCTTCATTTGTTGTCGTATTTCGACATTTGTACACTAAAATTAACATCTGTATCTTAAAATCAATATTTGTTATATACAATAAGAAAAATCTCAAAAAATACGACAACAAATGAAGAAATAAGAATTAAGGACTATGAACTAAGAAATAAGGAGGGGGGGGGGTCACGTGGCTAAGTGGGTAAGACGCTGGCTCGATAGCCTGGAGGTCGGGTGTTCGATCCCTGCATTGGCCGAGAAAGTTCATTCAGATTTTCCGGCGTGGTTCCCAGATGCAGGACGGAGGGCCTGACAAGGACAGCGATTGGCGTGCACGTAAAAGATCCCTTGGCAGTTGGAATTCGATTGCACGGGCAAAATTTCCCTCATAGCACACTGTATGGCGTATGCCCGTCTTCATTAGCCCAGTTTAGGAGCAGAACGGTAGGATGTTACACCCATTTCATTTCAAGAAATAAGGACTAAGAACACCGAATAAAGAGCTGTTTGGTCCTCCATAAGAATTAACAACAAGCGAACTGCAGTCAATTAAGGTATGGCAAGAATTGAAGACAAGGCGACCAACTCAAGTTTATAGATTCCAGAAGACTGGTGTAAAATATTAGACAGAAATTCAATAATATCATTAGTTAGTTCGTGTGTTGCTTCGATTCTCATTGGAATTAACACGTTAACACCCAGATTGCTCGTGCATGATTGACACGTGTGATGAGATGATGAAGAGAAATCTATGACAATGGCACGTGTGTGAGACAACTACTGTTTATTCTTGTTTAAACAAGCTTCTTGAGACAATTAATCCTCTATTTCAAGATATCTTTAAGAGAGATTGTGCCGTGTGGTATTCCGGGGAACTACGGTGGCTAAGTGGGTGAGACGCTGGCTCGCTAGCCTGGAGGTCGGGTGTTCGATCCCTTGCATTGGCCGAGAGAGTTCATCGTGGTTCCTCCTTGTCAGTGGTGCAGGACGGAGGGCCTGACAAGGACAGCTGTCTAGTCGTTCGGATGGGATGAAAAACCGAGGTCCCGTCTATACATTGGCGTGCACGTAAAAGATCCCTTGGCCGTTGGAATTTGATATAAGAGTAGGTCATAGTGCCGCTGCCCCTGCAAAATTTCCCTCATAGTATGCTCGTCTTCATTAGCCCAGTCGGAGCAGAACAATAGGACGTTAAACCCCATTTCATTTCATTTTCATTTGTCCTATGATATTCCGTGGGGTTGGATGGCCGAATGGTTAGCATGTATCATATGGTCTGTCATTGAGTCAACTGGCGGGGTTTCGATTTCCCGGTTGTACGTGACAAGGTGTAGGGTCGCCTGTCAAACCTCGTCAGTTTTCTCCGGATCCTCCGGTTTCCTCCCACTGCTAAAGATCCCTACGCGCAAGCGAATTATTGAAATTAAATTGAATCATTTGTTAGTCCCGAAATGACCTAGTTTGTGTCGAGTTGACGTTAAACCCAATCTCTCTCTCTCTCTCTCTCTCTCTCTCTCTCCCGCTCTCTCCTATGATATTCCTCCCAAAATCCAATTACACTATATTTGTTCTGGAGACGAATCTTATTCTTGTTTTTATGATATTATGTTACTTTCATCCATGTTGAAGATATCTAGACGTGGATTCAATCACCGATTGATTAGTTACTGACCATAGGGCATACCGTCTTGGGAAACCTAACACCGCTTCATTTGTTACCAACTATCTGTGGTGAAATGGTTCAAGTAGACAATTTGATTCAGTCAATTTTCTCGTTAAAAATATCGAAGGCATCCGTTATAGATTTGGTTAGTAAAACTGTTCGTTTGTGTCAGTCCACGTTATGCTATCACAGTGGGGGGCGGGGGGGGGGGGGGTCACGGTGGCTAAGTGGGTAAGATGCTGACTCGCTACCCTGGAGGTCGGGTGTTCGATCCCTGCCTTGGCCGAGAAAGTTCATCCAGGTTCCCCCCTTGTCAGTGATGCAGGACGGAGGGTCTGACAAGGACGGCTGTCTAGTCGTTCGGATGGGACGAAAAACCGAGGTCCAGCGTACACATTGGTGTGCACGTAAAAGATCCCTTGTCAGTTGGATTTCGATATAAGAGTAGGCCTTATAGTTCTGATCGTAACGCATCGCACGACATGGCGAATCTAGCATTACTTATCGACTTGTATTCGAGAGATTTCCAAATCTAAGCAAATATCATACTGTTAAAAAAGATGGGTGAGTTGGCGATCTAGCAAGGTGGGTGGTAGTCTGGAGTCACCAATCTATTTTAACAAGAAGAGATTTAATGGCGACAACTGAAACACAAGAATGATTAAAATGAGAGAGAGAGATAGAGAGAGAGAGAGAGAGAGAGAGAGAGAGAGAGAGAGATTTAACGTCAACTGGACACAAACTATGACATTTCGGGACTAACATATGGTTCAATTTTATTTCAATAATTCGCTTGCGTGTAGAGGTCTTTAGCAGAGCGAGGGACCCGGAGGGCCCGGGGAAAACCCACGAGGTTAGAAGGCGATCCTACTCCTTGTCACGTACAACCGGGGAATCGAAACCACGACAGGTGGCACAAGAATGGTTTATAAGAGGTTGGTGAGCTGATTAAGACGACATCAGGCCCGTAACTAGGGGGCGCAGGGGGGGGGGGGGGCTTTGACCCCTGCAAAAAGTTTCGCCCCCCCCCCCCCCGTGAAAAATTTTTCGACCATAACAAAAATAGATATACATAGTCCATCAATATTACAGCACCCCCGAAAACACTTCCCGCCCCCCTCGTTGCTCTGAGCTAATTACGGCCCTGACCGACATACACCATGCAGTGTGCTATGAAGGCAATATTTCCGGAACTATAGGGCGATTCTGCCCAATTCTTCATCGACTTACAACTGTTAACGCGGTTCTTTCACCCGCACGCCTTCGGTTTTTCATCTCGTCCGAAGAACAAGACGCTGTTTCCAGCAACACTGACAAGAAATGAAATGAAATGGGGTTTAATGTCCTACTGTTCTGCTCCTCGACTGGGCTAATGAAAACGGACATACTCTATACAGTGTGCTACGAGAGAAATTTTGCCCGGGCAGCGGCGCTACGGCCTACTCTTATATCGAATTCCAACTGCCAAGGGACCAATGTGTACACGGGACCTCGATTTTTCATCCCATCTGAATGACTAGTCAGCTGTCCTTGTCAGAACCCTCCGTCCTGCGCCACTGACAAGGGGAAACCACGCTGGAAAATCTGGATGAACTTTCTCGGCCAATGCAGGGATCGAATCACTGACAAGAGTAAACCGTGTTGGAAACCGGTAACGTTTTAACGGGGTAATATTTTTGAAGCCAAATTTACAGGATATAATTTTTTCTACAATCATAGAAACGATACCAATTGGATTAATTCGTTTCGTTTTTTATTCTTTCGACGACTTCTTCTACAGGAAGATCTGACCAGTTGTAGCGGGAGGTATCGTCAGGGGTCATACGAGCAGCTTTTGACCCTATTACGTCAGACATTTGATTAACCAATCAGCGTTGATGCATGTTCCTAGTGGGATGTCCACAGCACACCAAGATCTCTCTGCAACGAACCGTTTCATCGGCAACAAGAACGCGGCTTATATAACAACTCTTCCAGAGAGAGAGAGAGAGAGAGAGAGAAATTGGGTTTAACGTCCACTCGACACAGACTAGGTCATTTTGGGACTAATAGTAACACACGGTTTAATTTTATTTCAATAATTCGCTTGCCCGTAGGGGTCTTTAGCAGTGGGAGGAAACCGGAAACTCTTCCAGACCCTAGTTTACCATCCGGAGCTTCTCCTTTGAATGAAATTCACCTTGGACGCTTCCTTGCAAAGATCCAAAATATTTTAAACTATCAAAAAACGAAACGAAATTGGATCTGTGGTTTAATCAGATTGCCTGTTCCTACTCTTCCATATCCTAGTGTAGTGAAGACAAGTAAAACGAAATTTTGAACTATAAAAAAACCAAAAACAATCTAATTAAAATATAGATCTATATTTCGTTTCGTTTTTTATACTTTCAATGGCCTACACTACATGTAGATCTAACAAGTGATAGTGGGAGTTCACGTTCTATGACGTCAGGTACCAAGCAAGCGACATTTGACCCGATTACATCAGTCATTCGATTAACGAATTATCGACCGCCATGTATTGTTTATCTACTTTTGCTTTGTTTTGATTTCTATTGCCGCTAATGTCTACCAACACTTCCGCGCAAAAAAAGTCAAACGCTAGATTCGACGGACCATTTGATTGGCGGACCCCTCATTTCAAGCAGAACACGGGTTAAATAACAACGCTTCCAGATCCAAGTGTAGTAAAGACAAGTAAAATCGAAATTTTGAACTATAAAAACGAAACGAAATTGGATCCGTGTTTTAATCAGATTGAAAAAAAAACGAAACGAAAAAGGATCCGTATTTTAATTAGATTGAAACGATACTGGCATAAAATGGATTTATCGGTATAGGTTTGTTTTATAAGTAATAAGACCAGTATGAATTCTGTCTACCATAATCGTCGTGAAACGTCCCCTAGGAGATGTCGTATTACTGGAAATGTACAGACGTATCGAGGGAGTTGATACTATAATTTTATTATGGCTGATTGACTTTATTTTTAGAAATAAATAAATTCATTGTCTCTTCTCGATAAATTAAATGACAATAGTAAGAATACGAAATAAAGAAATGAACAGAAAGCCAATAATTCGGCCATTTTGAGATCAGCATAATAATATGATAGTTTTAAATTGGTTTGCTTCGTGTTTAGAGGAGTGTTGTGTCCCGGACAGCGCATTTCGACCTATATCTCCCATGCCCGTAACTTTGGGGGCGGGGGGTGGTCGGCTGCAAAATGTTTTGCTCCCCCTGTGAAAAAATTGTCAACCTCCTGGAAACATAATCATCAGTAGTTGATATCGGATTCTCAGTACTGATTTTATCCAGATTTCTGGATTTTTCACTTTCTTCTGATCTTCAAATGAGGGGTATTTTGAGGTTTTCTGGTCAATTTTTCATCAAATGAAGGGTTTTTTGAGATGACGCTGCCCAGGGTGCAGGAAATAGCGTTTCCGGCAGACTAATTTTGAAAATTTTTGTCGAAGCCGGGGGGGGGGGGGGGAACACCCCCACCCCTGGACTCCCCCGCCCCCAGATATACATTGTCTGTCAATTTTACAGCACCCCACAGAACACTTCTCGGGCCTCCTCCCCCTCGTTGCTTTTAGCTAATTCTAATTTTCAGAGGTTATATCTTACCGACAGTGACAATACTTGGTCACGGTATACCTTAAATTCATCCACTTCCGGGGGGTTGGATGGCCGAATGGTTAGCACGTGCGCGCTGTATCAAACGGTCTGTCAGTGAGTCAACTAACGGGGTTTCGATTCCCCGGTTGTACGTGACAAGGAGTCGGGTCGCCTGTCCAACCTCGTGGATTTCCTCCCACTGCTAAAGACCCCCTACGCGCAAGCGAATTATTGAAATAAAATTAAACCATATGTTAGTCCCGAAATTACCTAGTTCGTGTCGAGTAGACGTTACCCCCCCCCCTCTCTCTCTCTCTCTGTGGGGCAGAAGGTGAATAAAGTTCGAGCCGCTCAATGAGACGAGTATTAACATTACAGGCAGTGGAGAGATAATCGAAACCACGCCAGTTGACTCAATGACAGATACAGCGCACGTGCTAACCATTCAGCCATACACCCGTCCACCCCCCCCCCCCCCCTTTCTGCTCAAGAATCATGAATATAAAACAAAACTTGGCAGAACATGTAAACTCAAACACAAAAGTCAACTTTTCCGATATTTTCATGAAGGTGAAAGTCAGTGTCTTGTCGGACATAATTACGATAGTAATTAATATGCAAAATATCTTATTTATTTGTTACTGCGGTGTCCAAAAAGATACATTTACGTGTTATTTGAAACTAAGTTTAAACTGAACAAGTAGCTTTATCAGCCGTTAAGGTCAGACCATCTGGGCAGGTGCAGGTGGGTGACCTATTAGAAGATAGCAGACTCGGAAGACAGAAATGGGAACACCCACCATTATTCGTTCCACACACATTGGGGCCTGAAAAGTAGAAATATGTAAAAGATTAGGGATTTAATAGTAACAGAAGTTTGATGCGTGTTTGGAAAGGGCAAGAGCTAAATTAAGGAAATGACAAACAGGACTAGAACAACGTGTAGACCGATGTTTCGTCATTGAGGTTAAATAGGTGGTAAAATGGGCTAACTGGTGCTAACATGGGGTAACTGGTGCTAACATGGGCTAACTGGTGCTAACATGAGCTAACTGGTGGTAACATGGGCTAACTGGTGCTAACATGGGCTAACTGGTGCTAACATGAGCTAACTGGTGCTAACATGACCTAACTGGTGCTAACATGAGCTAACTGGTGCTAACATGGGCTAACGGGTGCTAACATGGGCTAACTGTTGCTAACATGAGCTAACTGGTGCTAACATGGGCTAACTGGTGCTAACATGGGCTAACTGGTGCTAACATGAGCTAACTGGTGGTAACATGGGCTAACTGGTGCTAACATGGGCTAACTGGTGCTAACATGAGCTAACTGTTGCTAACATGAGCTAACTGTTGCTAACATTAGCTAACTGTTGCTGGACTAACTGGTGCTAACACGAGCTAACTGGTGCTAACATGGGCTAACTGGTGCTAACATAGGCTAACTGGTGGTAACATGGGCTAACCGATGCTAACATAGGCTAACTGGTGGTAACACGAGCTAACTGGTGCTGGGCTAACTGGTGCTAACATGGGCTAACTGGTGCTGGGCTAACTGGTGCTAACATGAGCTAACTGGTGCTGGGCTAACTGGTACTAGCATGAACTAACTGATGGTAACATGGGTTAACCGGTGCTAACATGGGCTGATTTGTGCTGGGCTAGCCGGTAGTAGCATGGACTAACCGGTGCTAGCATGGACTAACAGGTACTAGCATGGGCTAACTAGTGCTAACCGATGCTAACATGGGCTAACTGGTGCTGGGCTAACTGGTACTAGGCTAACTGGCGTTTATATCGGCTAACCGGTGCTAACGTGGGCTAATTTGTGCTGGGCTAACTGGCGCTTACATGGGCTAACCGGTGCTAACATAGGCTAACTAGTACTAACATGGGCTAACCGGTGCTAACATGGACTAACCGGTGCTAACATGGGCTAATTTGTGCTAACATGTGCTAACCGATTCTAACACGGGCTAACTGGTTCTAATTGGTGCTAATAGGGATTGATGGCCAAAAACAGGCAACTACTCAATAAAAGTCAAACATGCTTGATGTTATAAAGATACATACTGGAATTTGAGTTTTTCGTGGTGGTGTATTTCTACACTAGTATACACATGAAATATACTTACTATCTGCTTGTTTTCGTGGATCAATGGCACAAATTCCCATAAGAGAATGTTGCCTTATATGCCAGCGGCCATATTGTTCCAGGTTCTCATATCGAGTAACTTCGCTGCCACCATGTTTTGGTATACGAAGGAGTTTTCTCATATTCTGCACCCAATACAAGTAATCCTTAAATACGACAATAATATAGTAATTTAAACACCGTGAAACATCTTTCTGGTTTTCGCCTGTCCAACCTCTTTGGGTTTCTCCGGGTCCCTCGGTTTCCTCCTACCGCTAAAGACCCCTACACGCAAGCGAATTATTGAAAATAAGATTGAAGCATGTGTTAGTCCCGAAATGACCTAGTTTGTGTCGAGTGGACGATAAACCCACCGATTTCCCGCTTGTACGTGACAAGTAGTAGGGTCTTCTGTCTAACCTTTTTGGAATTTCTCCGGGTCCTTCCGAAGGGGGCTGGGGGGGGGGGGGTAACGTCCACTCAATGTTTCGGGGCTAGCATATGGTTACATTTTATTTTATTACATCACTTGTGGTCTTTAGCAATGGCAGTAAACCGGAGGATCCACGAGGTTAGACGGGTGATCCTACTCCTTGGGGAATCGAAGCCACGCAACTTGTCTCCATGACAGACCTAACGATCTAACACGCACACGTTAAACCATTCGGCCACGAAATCCCCTAAAAGTTTAGAACATCACATTTTCATACCACATTGGGGCTATGGTTACTGTGATATTGTATTACAATTAAAATTTGTAATGACATATATCGCTAGACGGAGAGAGAAATGGGGTTTAACGTCCACTCGACACAAACTAGGTCATTTCGGGACTATCATATGGTTCAATTTTATTTCAATAATTCGCTTGCCTGTAGGGGTCTTTAGCAGTGGGAGGAAACCGGAGGACCAGGAGAAAACCCACGAGGTTGGACAGGCGATCATACTCCTTGTCATGTACAACCGGGGAATCGAAACCACACCAGTTGACTCAATGACAGACTTTATGATACCGGGGGCACACGCTAACCATTCAACCATCCACCCCCCATATCATTAGACAACTACCAGTCGTGGGCGCAGGATATTTGGTTAGGGGTCCCATCTACTTCATACTTCGAGAAAAGATCTCTGTCCTAAATGGCCGCCATATCCAAGACTTAGTATATTGTTTTGTAATGCGGTTCTACTCCGTTTCACACCTGGCTTACACACAAAGACTAAATAAACTTTTTCAATTCCATTAAATGGAAGTAGAATAAATACTTCTCAAAATTCGCGAAGCATACTTAGTGTTTACGAATTAAAATGTCGGTCAAATAGCTTAGCGTCTGTTCTCAAATGGAACTAACTGTAGACAGACAGCCTAAGCTTCGTATGTGTTCCCATGTGTCCTTTGGAAAAATCGGGGTGTCAATGGTAATTTGCAGCGGATATCTGGACCTATGGTGGGAAGCTTGCCGACCCTCATCAACCTAACCAACAGAAAGCTCAAATTTACATGTTTGATACAAACAGAATGAAGTGAAGTATTATTATTTTTTTTTTATACAGGGTTGAGTTTAAGTTAAATACCACCACCATTCCAATCGTTAAAATATCAAATTCCAGAAGTTGATAATAGTACAGGTTAATGCTTGACATTAAAGACTACTATTATTACTTGACATTAAAGACTACTATTGTTCAAATCTACGTCGAATCTGAGGCTAAATGTTACCATGTAAAATTAATGTGACATTACACATCAAAAGAACAATTAATAGTAGCATTCATTATTTCAAGTATTATTATATTATATCATTATAATTTACACGAATTGCGAAACTTACCCCGGATATGGTGATATCTACAGGTGTAAAGTCCCATGTAGAATATGGTGTATAAACGGTGGTCAGGTTTTCTCCATTAACACCAATACTTTTAATCATGTTAAAGGTACCTTCAGTCCAGTACAATCTCTGTTCGTCATAATCTACAAAAACAATAATAACAACCTCTGCTAGTCCTCATTACAACAGCAATAACAACAACAATACAACCTATTTTAGTCCTATCGACAATATTGGGGGTGGGGGTGTTACGGTTCCTCGATTCCCTTAACAAAGAACGTAAATAAAATAGGGTTCGCTCCAGCCTAGCGCTAAACCAAAAGAATAAGACAAACAAAAGTTAAAAGTTAATAAATTTTATTACATATATAAAAACAATTAATTTATTATAGGCCTATAGACTATAGACTCTACTGTCTTCAGCAATGTATAATGAAGAAATTAGGCGACAAATTGCATAAATTATAATAAAATAGGCCTAATAGGCCAACAATATTAAGTTAATTTAATATAAGACACTAAATACTACTATAACTATATAGGTCTATTATATGTTAAATAAATGACCCTTTTTTTTTACCACCCTTCGCCCTTACACTTGCTGCAAGCAAGATTGTATTCCTATAGTTTTTCCCCAAAAGTGCTAAAAAGTAGGGATTATTTCCCCAAAAACGACCAAATTGGGATTTACCCAGTAATTCAAATTGATGAAAATGGGGATTTTCATCAAAAATGATAAAAGCGGGGATTTACCCACTAATTGATGAGAATGGGGATTTTTCCCCAAAAATGATAAAAGTGGGGATTTACCCACTAATTGGTGAGAATGGGGATTTTTCCCCAAAAATGATAAAAGCGGGGATTTACCCACTAATTGATGAGAATGGGGATTTTTCCCCAAAAATGATAAAAGTGGGGATTTACCCACTAATTGGTGAGAATGGGGATTTTTCCCCAAAAATGATAAAAGCGGGGATTTACCCACTAATTGATGAGAATGGGGATTTTTCCCCAAAAATGATAAAAGTGGGGATTTACCCACTAATTGGTGAGAATGGGGATTTTTCCCCAAAGGTAGGTAGGGTGTGGGGTTTTCCCACGAATGATTACGCTGAAAATAACAACCTGTAGTAATAGGCCTATACAAAAAGGCCAGTTCTGGAGGTTAGGAAATCCGGACAAAATATTAAATATAGGACTAGTCTAAAAGAATGATGCTAATCTAATCACTCATAGTGATTGACGAGGGAAACTAGGCCTAAGGCCTAACTTAAAAAAAACACATTCTCCAGCCTACATAAAGGTCTAGAGTTTTCCATCGGCATAATTAGACTGCTATTAACCTACCATCAAAGAATCCATTAGTTTTTCCTAAGGCAAAATGGGCCTTAAAAGTAATAAAGACTTTTACACTAAACGAACTACACCCAGTGGCAGCCAAAGACCGAAGTGCCGAGCCTCAAGACTGTCGTCTGCTAAGATTTAAACGTTCCGCCAATCAGAGGGATTGGAACGCTAGCTCGCGTAAACTAACCAATCAGATTCATTAGAACGAAAGCGCGAGTAACTCGGCCAATGACAGCGTCTGGAACATAAGCGCGTGAAAAATGTCAAACGCAGGAGTTGATGAAAGAAGCTCTGAAGAAACAGCCGATGAATATTTGAAAAATACGAGTAAAATATTAATAGGCAAGCTATCCTGCTGATGTGTCCCCCTCGCCCATGAGGTGGGGCACAATAATACGCATTATTGAAAACTGACAAGCTGAATTAGGAACGGGGTAAAGTAGTTTTCACACGTTAATTTTATGACATTGAACGCACGCGGTTTGCCTCCATTTGACACTTCCGAAAGGCTGGCAATGAATGAACAGCCGATAAACTTTAAATAATTGAAGCTGGATACTGTCATCACTATGACTTTTTGGTAGCATTATATATATATATAATAATGATTTTAATAGTAAAATAATAATTATATATGCTCGTAAACTTATAACAGTGTTGATGCATCTATAACTGAATTGACTATATAGGCTAGGCCTATTTAAATATCTTACGTTACAAAGAAAACAATACTGATTATCCACCTGAGTGGCACATATTACAGGCGATTTAAGCATAATAAGTTAGTAATACTAACATAGACTGAATCAGCACTATGAGCTTTGCCTGCGCGTAACAGGGGGATGGCTGAATGGTCAGCGTGTGCGCGTTGTATCATAAGGTCTGTCATTGAGTCAATCGAGGTGGTTTCGATTCCCCAGTTGTACGTGACAAGAAGTTGGGTCGCTTGTCCAACCCCGTGGGTTTTCTCCGGGTCCTACGGTTTCCTTTCACTGCTAAAGACCCCTACGCGCAAGCGAATTATTGAAGTAAAATTGAACTATATGTCAATCCCGAAAGGACCTAGTTTGTGTCGAAAATGTTTCCTCGGAAGTTCCATAAAATGATCCCTGATCAACTCGGACCAAGCTACAGCCATACTTCATGACTACACATCTCCCTATTCCAACAATCGGATTAAAATATACATCTATATTTCGTTTCGTTTTTTTACGTCAGAGGTCATACGAGCGGCTTTTAACCCCATGACGTCAGACATTTGGTTAACCAATCAGCGTTGATGTTTCTAGTGGGTTACCCACAGTTCCGTGCACCTCACGCCAATTACTCGACGTAAGAGACCGTTTCATTGGCTAATCCCTCACATCAACCAGAACGCGGATTATATAACAACTCTTCCAGATCCTAGTGTAGGAAAGACAAGTAAAACGAAATTTTGAACTGTAAAAAACGAAACGAAATAGAATCTGTGTTCTAATCAGATTGCCTATTTCAACTGCCAAGGGATTTTTCTTTCTTTTATCGGACCTGGCATTTTAGAAACCACCCGACCTACATGCCACGCTTCCTTGACAGTCCCGTATAGCGCCATCCAAAACAAGCGAGGCCGGACTTAAAATGTCCGAAGTTTCATCTTAGCCTAAATTGGATGTTGTTTCAATCAAATTGTTTTTCTATTACCTAAAGCTAGGTTCCCACTATGACGATTCGCGCTACGATTGAAATCGTGGTTTTAATCGTGGAGTAATCGTGGTGATCCTATCAGGTCTTATCATATATCGAGGTCAATCGTGGCAATCGTGTTGATCGTATGGAAACATATTGGAACGTATCTGCACGTACAAGATCGTGGACTTAGTAAATGACGCCGTAAAATGACCGAAGATTCATCTCAGCCTACACTGGAAGTTGTTTTAACCAAATTGCTTATTTATTACTAACCTAATGCTAATCTGATTGGATAATCTAGTTCACGAGTTATCAGCTCATGGTACCTGCCATCTAAAGTAGTCCTCATCAATTTGGCCGATTCTTCATCACCAGCAATCAAATATAACCACCTAAATCAAACGTATTTAACCATAATCAATACCAGCATAACTTACACCATAATATTTTAATAGAAACAAGGGGCGTGCTGACCCACGAATGTGCATGGGGAACAAGATTTCGTCTTGGCCCCAAAAAACAAAATATATGTGTCATTGCGGGGAAGGGGGGGGGGTAAGAAGGGGCCCCTCCCAGTGCCACCGAGTAATAGTGGGCTGTTGTGTGGCACATGCTAGGGTCGATTTGTAGAATATCTGACCCACGGTATGTTTGACACTGGTTGAACACTATGATTATGATTATAATGTTGAAAACTGCATTGAAACCGCGTGATTTTTTGCATTTGCAAAACCTCAAGGGGACGCAAAAACTCCAAACCATGAGGCAAAGGTCGTCATTGCGTCTCTCTCTCTCACTTAGCCCCTGGCTCCCTCACAAGGAGGTCCCCGTTCTTACCCGGTGTCGTCAGTTGCTGGAAAATGCCGGCCTCCTTTACCCTTGTCGAAATTGTCAATGGAATGTGTCTTGTCGACGTTGGCTCGCTAACACCAAGGTCGCGTGTTCGATTGCGACATTGGCCGAGAATGTTCATCGGAATTTTCCGGCGTGGTTCCCCCTTGTTAGTAGGGTCTGGCAAGGGAAAACGTATAGTCTTTTGGGTGGGAAGATAAACCGAGGTCCCGTGTACACATTGGCCTGGACGTAAAGGATCCCGTGGCAGATGGAACTCGATATAAGAGTAGGCCGTAGTGCCGCTGTCCGAGCAAAATTTGCCCCATAGCACACTGTATGGAGTATGCCCGTCTTCATTAGCCCAGTCGGAGCAGAATAGTAGGACGTTAAACCCCATTTCATTTCATTTCATCTCTCCACAGCCTACAATAGTAAACGAATGAAATTTTCAACATTTTCATTTTACATTTTCCAGTTTTGAGCTATTATAGCAAGAATGGGTCAGCTCTTTATCTAAATCTAACATAATGTATCTTTAAGTGAAACAGGTTTATCAGTATAGTTGTCTTACCCAGTTCTAGGATCGACTTCTATATCTCGTGGGTAACCCACATGACTTAATAAAGTTTTCCTCGCTCCTGTATCGGGGTTGATTACCAGGATATTATCATTCATCCGATCACTAATATATAAATGATTATGTATCCAATCATAAGCCAGACCTTCGGGTTTATCCAGGTCACCTTCTAGTACAACCTTTTGTTCTTCATCACCACCATCAACTTTTACACTAGCAACATACAAAACAGTTAAAGGAGCTAAGTCTCTAACTCAATAGTAGGTTTAGAGTTAAACAAAGGAATTCAGTTTTAAAGGAGCTAAGTCTCTAATTCAATATTTTCCATAATATTCGAAATTAAAAACACGAATAAGAATTCAATATTGACCAATTTCAATCAATGCTGATGTTGTTATCTTGTCGTGAAATTATAGGATCCTAAAATCCAATATTTGAGACACAATTAACATTTTATAATCAGTACACGAGGCGTGTACCCTTTGGTTTCGGGTGTCATTTTGTAATGAACAAATAATAACAGACCCTACCTTGTTACTTTGATCGAGTTATACACAATGGCTAATTCATTTTTAAATTGTGTCAGTAGCTGCTGAGACATAGGCCTTTTTATACAAAGGTATTTCACTATTATGTTAAGGTACTTGCACTCTGACCCAGAGAGCTGTAACTATGGAGGTACTCGATTGTACGTTCCGGAATTGAATTCTCTCAATCCCAAAAATAGCGACAATCGAGTGAAAAGGTGGATTTTGGGCTACAACGCATGCGATGACTGAAGATGAAAATATCTCAACCAACTATGACAGCTCAAACTTACGTCACTATTCTACCCATACCATCTCCGTGGTCAGGACTGGCAGAACTGTGACAGAACTGAATTCCGCGTTACTCGATTGATTGCAATTCTGTCAATTCGGGACGTTCTGGACTGTGAATCGAGCATCTCCCAGATACTGAGGGCAAGGGTAATAACTTATCCAGTAACCTCACGTGGGCCTTTAAAAAGGGACTATAGGTTGTTGTTCTTAGTGTTTAACGTCCGCTTCTACCGAAGGTGATATCGCAGACAAGTCTTTTTTTATTTTATTATCTTAGCGCACGCGCAGTGGTCTTTCCTGTGGGAGTAAACTGGAGTACCCGGAGTAAACTCACGAGGTTGAGAAGGGCGCCCCTATCTCCAAGCCACATACGGTAACACCAGCCACATACGCTTGACCGACCAGCTAGAGGTCAAAGCGCGGCACTCTAGACCACTAGGCCATCTCTACCTCCCTAGGAAGACCGACTTACCTATACACCTTATGAGCAGCGATGTCTGTCCAGTAGATTAACTTTCCATTATAATTAAAGTCAATAGCAGACGACGCACCACGCCCACTACTCATCAAGGCAATGGTTTCCAAAACAGGCGTGTTGTTTCCACCGGCGGGGTTAATGAAGCTGACCTTTTTATCCTTATCCAGTACGGCAATAAGAGGGTCTTCGCCTGAAATGTTTATACATTTTCGATTAGATTAAATTTTCGATTAAATCACTTTGTCTTTGACTTAAAATGAAATGAAATGAAAATGAAATGGGGTTAAACGTCCTGAAGACTGGGATAATGAAGACGGGCTTACACCATACAGTGTGCTATGAGGGAAATTTTGCCTGAACAGCAGCGCTACGGCCTATTCTTATATCGAACTCCAACTGTCAAGTGATCTTTTACGTGCACGTTAATGTGTACACGGGGCCTCGGTTTTTCGTCCCATCCGAGCGACTAGACAGCTGTCGTTGTCATGCCGGAAGTCTGGATGAACTTTGTCGGCCAATGCAGGCATCGAACACCCGAACTCCAGGCCAGCGAGCCAGCGTCTTACCCACTTAGCCACCGTGATCCCCCGACTTAAAATCAAAGAGGACTGTTAATTTTAATATGATGGATAAAAAAGATGCAGTGTGGGTGTGGCATATGAAAGAGAGAGAGATGGAGTTTAACGTCCACTCCACACAAACTAGGTCATTTCGGGACTAACATATGGTTCAATTTTACTTCAATAATTCGCTTGTGGGTAGGGGTCTTTAGCAGTAGGAGGAAACCGGAGGAACCGGAGAAAACCCATGAAGTTGTCACGTACAGCCGGGGAATCGAAAGCACGCCAGTTGACTCAATGACAGACCTTATGATCCAACGCGACCGCGCTAACCATTGGGCTATCCAATCCCCCACCCCCTCCCCGTAGCTTCGAAAAGTAATGTTTAACGTGAACAGGTACAGAAGATTATATAAATGTTATTTTACCTTGAGTTGGAAAGACAATAGATCTTGTATATACAGGTAACAATACCAACACCACATACAACGATGTCTTCATTATTACACTTTAATGTATATAAACTAAATCTGTTCTCTTAAATATATATACAGCACTATTCTAATATAATTAACATATCTGACCTTCAATATAATCATTATAATAGCTCTGATATTTTAAACTAATATTTAAAAATAAGAGAACTAATGTCAATCTACTCACTATTTGTTTGTAATTATGTAGACGTGACGCCAACTTTAGTTAGTGGGTGAGAGGGAGAGAGAAATGGGGTTTAACGTCCACTCGACACAAACTAGGTCATTTCGGGACTAACACACGGTTCATTTTTATTTCAATAATTCGCTTGCGCGTAGAGCTCTTTAGCAGTGGGAGGGAACCGGAGGACCCAATAGGTTGGACAGGCGACCCTACTCCTTGTCACGTACAACAGGGGAATCGAAAGCCCGCCAGTTGACTCAATGACAGACCTATGATACAGCGTGTGCGTGCTGACCATTCGGCCATTCCCCCCCCCCCTCTTTAGTTAGTGATTAAAACCAGATTTCTATGGGCGGTTTTTAGATGACGTTTTCATTGTCTAGACGTACACACTAGACGAATTTTGGACGTTTTTCAACATTCTGAACAATCATCATCCATCTGTCAAATTAACCGCAAATGTAAGCCATAACAGCATAGATTTCCTTGATACTACCGTGTTTAAAAGTAGCAACACCAAAATCACAGGCCAATTGGAAACTAAAGTATTTTTCAAAGAAACCGACACACATCAATTATTGTTCAAAAGCTCCTTTCACCCAAAACATACATTCTCTGGCATCATAAAATCTCAGATTCTCCGTTTTCATAGGATATGTACTCAGAAGACCGACTTTGAGTCAGCATGTACATTGGTATTTAGCAAACTAAGGGAAAGGGGATACTCCAAACGCTATCTACGACGTATAAAAAACAACACTCTCGCTGAGCTTGCCGCCAAAGAAACAAATAATATACAATCAGCAGTCAAAACCAAACTTTGTGGCCATCCAAGATGTCAAACATGCAAAATCTTAAACATATCCGACCATTTCCATAATAAAACATCTGGCACAAAATTCCCAATATTAGACCAACTTTCATGCAGTAGTTCAAACATAATGTATCTAATTTCATGCAGAAAATGTGACAAGCAATACGTAGGGGAGACTCAATGTGCACTTAGGGAAAGAATTAACGGTCACCGGTCAGACATAGTCACCAAAAAAGACAAACCTGTCTCAATTCATTTCAACCAACCGAATCATGACATTTCTGATCTCATTGTCACGCCAATAGAAAAGACCAAGAGCGACTTTGAAACTTCAGAAGAAATTAAAACGTTTAGGCTAACTAGAGAAAAATTCTGGATTGACAAATTGAAAACAACAGCCCCGCTAGGTTTGAATATTCATACGGCTAGCGCAATAGCTCCTTTTGTAGTTCCATTTAGCGCAACAGCAGCAAGTGCATCCAAAATCATCAGAAAACACTATACTGATCTCCAAGAAAATCACCCGAAAATATTCACACAGAAACTTATAATTGCATATTCTAAAAATAAAAATCTGAACGACATCCTAGTGCACAGTAAATTAGATTAAATAAGACCAGTCTCCACCCTGACCCAAAACAAACCATATATCAAATCCTATCCCTAACCGTTAGTAAATAAAATCAATTAGATATAAGAATCCCTAGCCCTAACCCGGTGACGTGGAACAAACACGATATTTTTAGAAAATCCAATCCGTAGTAAGAAACACACTAAAGTGGCTCTCTCCCGAGAGCCTCAAATTTATTTTCTTTTTTCTTCAGAAACAATAATACCAGAATACCAGAAGCACCACCCAAGTAAGACCATCAGCGCCACCAACACCAATAAACAGTGAAATCGCCTTTGTATATAAATCTAATGTATTGTATGTATTTTTAATAAAACTAGGAAATATCACGAACTAATTTTTCATCTTCCTAGGTCAGTGCTTATGTGGAGACTTAACCTCTCCCCCAAATTCTTAAACCTAACCTACAATCTCACCAACAATCACGTGCTCTAACCTTATTTACATCTTAACGACCTTGACAAACATGAGCTGGCCTTAACAAATAGATTTAGCCGGTGGCTTGCAGTAAAAATAAATTTCTATCTGTTATTTGTAATATTGGTATACATATCTGCCCTTTTGGCAATGGGGACCTTGCGTGCCATAAAACATTTCATTTAATTTTGGCAATGGACAGATGTCTGGTTGTAGCATAAGGTCCTAATTGTTGCTCGCAAACACGTTTCTACTGTTGAAATTCGTACTGGCGACCAAACAACATACCGCCATTACACCATATGGACACATCTCACCAAATATTCCTACACTGGTCACCCATGAATGAAGGGCGAAAGTTATTTTTAGTCTTTCTCTCCCTTTCCCTTTTCCCCCTTTTGCATGGCGATTTTTGTTGATTTTTTGTTGTAGAATCGAAGAACAGTGGTTGATATACATTTTATGCCAGGTTTTGGTGAATATTCATGATTTTGACGCGGAAGGATACAAGAGTTGAGAGGTTGGTTAGATTGGAATGTAGGGCGGAAAATTGCATGTTTATTAATCTTTACTTCCAGTTTGTGTATCTCACGTTTTTCATGGTGAACCTCATACGTGCTTTTAAGCAACAGGTTGCCACATGTTGCTCCATTTGTTGTAGAAAGCGTTTTACCCAACGAAAATTCCCGAAAAAGAGCCGGTCTAAGAGAAGAGAATTAACATTAAAGTCAATGGGGAAGTCATTAGTAATCTGTGGCCATATGTGCTTGTAGACAGGAAAATCTCTTTCAAGTAGACCGTTAAGCTGAGCTTAGTATTATATTAATACGCTCAGGTAGTCTGACAGTAAAGACAATCGCGTTGGTATTTAGGCTAGGCCTAATGACTCTTACTGGATTGTCGAAACAATGGATTGCTCGGTTAGCGCTAGATATCAGTATACCGGATATGTCATTGTCGAAACAATGGATTGCTCGGTTAGCGCTAGATATCAGTATACCGGATATGTCAACCTGGTTAAAACATATATCCTATTTCGTTTCGTTTTTATAGGTCAAAATTTCGTTTTACTTGTCTTTACTACACTTGGATCTGGAAGAGTTGTTATTTAACTCGTGTTCTGAATGGTGTCAGGGATAAGCCAATGAAACGGTCTGTTACGGCGAGCTTTAGGCGTGTTTTTCACGGAACTGTGGGTAATCCACTAGTAACATCAATGCTGATTGGTTAATCAAATGGCTGACTTCATAGGGTCATAAGTCGGTCTTTTGACCACTGGCGTGACCTATCGCTATAACTTGTCAGATCTTCATGTAGTGTAGGCCATCGAAAGTATAAAAAAAACGAAAAGAAATATAGATCTGTATTTTAAACAGATTGCCGGATATGTATTTGGGGATTGTAGACTTTCTTTTGGAGCTCGGGAGGGGGGTGGGGTGGGGGGCTTTTAAAATTACGCAATGTAATGTAATTTCAGACAATTGCTTGCTCGGTCTATGGAAGTTCCCTCGGTTGTACGTGACAAGGAATGGGGTCGTCTGTCCAACCTTGTAGGTTTTCTCCGGGTCGTCCGGTTCCCCTACCTCTCCACTGCTAAGACCCTTAAGCGCAAGTGAATTATTGAAATAAAATAGAAGAATTTGATAATCCCGAAATGACGTTAAACGCCATCTCTCTTATACTAATAACATCATATTACACAAAATCACTCATTTTGTAAAAAATCACCCAGTCATCCATCTTACACAAAATTACTCAATTTACACAAAATCACCCAACTTACACAAATTCACACATCTTAGATAAAATATTGAAACCAATACGTTTATGTTAACCCACAAACCATACAGGACGGGTCGCTTCAAATCGTGCTTCCTTCAAAATGTTGTAAGATCAAACTTAATGTTACAGTAATCAATATTCATGACATTAAAATGCCCTCAATGAAATGTTAATTGTCTATGTAAAAGTCGATCAAGAATGCTAAATATTGTAGTATTGTATGAAAGGAAATTCATTTTTACAAGTAGGGGGGTTGGGTAGCCGAATGGTTAGCACGTGCGCGCTGTATCATAAGGTCTGTCATTGAGTCAACTGGCGTGGTTTCGATTCCCCGGTTGCACGTGACAAGGAGTAGGGTCGCCTGTCCAACCTCGTGGGTTTTCTCCAGGTCCTCCGGTTTCCTCCCACTACTAATAACCTCTACGCGAAAGCGATTTATTGAAATAAAATTGAACCATGTGTTAGTCCCGAAATGACCTAGTTTGTGTCGAGTGGACGTTAAACGCCATTTCTCTCTCTCTCTCTCTCTCTCTCTCTCTTTAAACCACACATATTCATAAGTCGAAATTGTCTCATATATAGGCTTCTATATGTGAAACTGTGACTTAAGCGTTTGAATACATTACGAGGATAAAAATAGGCCTGATCGATTTGCAATTCATTATTTCTACACCAGTGGTAATAACAAAATAGGATTTCCGTAAGGAATATTTTAACGAAAGGAAATATGAATAAATTATTGTTTGATGAATAAATTTCTTCGCTTTATAGATTTTATGTTAGAGTATGACAATAAAAGTGTCAAAAGACTATTATTTTATAGAATCGTTGGGTAAAAAATGTTATTTAGAATGATATATTTCTATGGTCTATTGCTTGTCAATAATCGTATTTTCCTTACATACAAAACAAAAGGATTTGGTTACTGACATCTCATTGTTGTTTTTGTTTAAAGCCTGTCTCACATGATAGTGCATTAACCTGGCATAGCTGCTGGTGCGTAGCGCTAAATCTATTTGTTACGGCCAGCTCAAGTTTCGTCATGGTCGCTGTGACGTAAATAACGTGATAGTTGGCGAGATTGTAGGTTAGGGTAAGCATTAGGGCTTGGTTTTAGGAGAGAGAGAGAGAGAGAGAAATGGGGTTTAACGTCCACTCGACACAAACTAGGTCATTTCGGAACTAACATATGGTTTAATTTCATTTCAATAATTCGTTTGCCGGTAGGGGTCTTTAGCAGTGGGAGGAAACCGGAGGACCCG